GCCATCTACTCTATAGAATCCTATATCTACCCCGTTGTATTGACGTCTCTTGCTTATTTTGTGAGATAACCTCTAGTAGCCATATATTTACACATCCATCGTATCTCCCCTAGGTAAATATTAATATATGTTTCCTTGATTGCTAATATGCATTTTTGATTTTGTTGGTTTTGGTTACCTTTTTGCCATATTTTATGCATTGATCTTTGTTCCGAAAGAAAGATTATGTTATGCAAAATATGACTATTTTCTGCAGATAGTTTTCAATCTATTTTCGGCGTCTGAACTTTCACTACCCCTGTAGATGGTGTTATATACGGGGTTAGTATCTACAACTATGCAGTAGTCGTTGCACCTGACATCCGCCAACAGGGATATGACACATGCCACGTCCCTATCTACTAACAGCCTCATAATTATCGACTTGCTAGCACCATTTCTGAAAAGTGAAAGACGTGTAATTTTTTTTCCTTCTGGAAAATGAAGATCTCTAGAGATACATTCACAGAGTTGTTGTAGGGTGGAATCGAATGAAATTGAAACGTGCTCGGTAATGAACCCTTGATAATTGTTGTGCTCCTCCCAACTAAAACTGTGGCTAACAATGATCGCATACTATTCCCGCATTGATTGATTTAATTCATGAAAAAATGTAAAAATGAAATGGGTGGGGATTAATGATACCTTGTGTAAGAATATTAAAGAAATACTGTATTTAAGGTTGCTGATTACAGTGGAATGTTCGAACCAATTAGTTAGGTTTGTTTAAAAAAATTAAACACATTTTAAACTTGTTTGAATCATGTAGATTTGGTGGTTTAAATTTTGTGGAAAGATTTTAGGAATTATATAGATTTTGTACTTAAGGTGGTTTCAATATTAACTGTGATATAGGTAGATTTTGTGGTTTAAATTTTGTTGAAAGATTTTAGGAATTATGTAGATTTTGTAGGTAAGGTAGTTTCAATATTAAGTCTATAACATTGCTTAGGGAAAGATTTAAGGGAATGTGTGAGGCCTAAAACGTGGATGGGTAAAATGGAGAAAGATTGCAGGGGCAATATGGACATGAAATGTGTGGAGGGATAAATAAGGAATTATATACCTCCCCAAATTTGAGGAACCCAAATTTGGCCATGCCCTGCAATTTAGAAAAACTTTGATGATTTTTCTTAACGATAACCAGCAGCCATTTGTAAGGATTTCCCTATTTTGATCCTTAAGCACTAGTAACGTATGATTCCACATCTCCCTACCCTCTGTTTTCTTTTCGCTGCCCTTCACCAAAATTTTGTGGACGTTGTTATCATCAAAGAATCTTCACTTCATCGAGTAAACGGAATCCTCATCGAAAAATTTAATGCTCCATATAATCCACAGTGGGAAGAAATTGAAAATGAGGAGGGACCAGAATTAAAATCTCTTTCTATTTATCACTTTTTTTTAAAAGCATTATATATTTTCTTGAGCACAATTAAAATATCTTTTCATTTATAATTTTTTTTAATGTTATATATTCTCTAACGGGCAATTCATAGACGAGCTTCTATTTTTAACGACTTTTGTGAAATATTAGGTTAAAATGGACATTTTTGAAATTTGGATTTCAAAATGGGCTTATCCCTTTTCTTATTAGCCCAAGCCCAAACGTATGACCTTTTAACTTTAGATGTTATTTTTTTTAAGACAACAATATTTGAATTTTAAATATAAATCTTTTTCTTGTTTCCTTTTTTTCTTTTTTATTCTTAAATGACATCCGTATCCTTTCCTTGTTTCGTTTTTTTTATTATTACTACTATTTTATATATACATATTTTTAGTATAACACGCGGGGTTCAATTACCACTCGCTTTGACACTATTACTATTTTATATAAATTACATAACAAAGTATTAATAAGGTTAAGAAACACTCTCGATCCTATCCTTCAGTAACAATGTAATATCTAAATTTTAATTTAATTTGTGTATTTTTAAATTGGTAACAATTTAGTCTTTAAACTTTATTATGTAACAACTTAATCGTTGTAGTTTGAAATTTGTAACGATTTAGTCCTCATTCTAAAATTTTTTTGTTAAGTTTCTTATATGTATAGACCAATAAATCGATAAAAAACCAAATGTGTTTATAAATTATAAAAACTAAATTGTCGTAGGATAAAAATTCATACTTAATTTTGATGAGTTTTTTTTACAATAGAACTTAAATTGTTACACATTTTAAATTACATGAACTAAATTGTCACATAACAAAATTTAGGGATAAAATTATTACACATTTAAAAATACAGCAACTTAATCATTATAAATTACCGTCTAATGACTAAATTATTATTTTAATAGAAATAAAGAGACCAAAGTATTTTTAGACCAACAAAATACAAGTATGTTGGGTGATATTATCTCAATTTCGTGTGACAGAGGCCGTGCGTTGGGAGATAGCCGATTGCCGGTTGCCGTGAGTCACCGCCATGGGAGTGGGAAAATTCCAAAGTTAACGGAATCCAGTTGGCGCCTAATCAGAAAATGGGGTAACATTCAAACAGGTCAACCTACGAGGGACCTGCACTTTACTAGAGACTTCTCCCACTTTCTCACCACTTGGTTGGTTCTTTTTGTTTGTAGGCCAGAAACCGAATTAAAAAACAATATATATTAATTTTTATATTTAAATACTATATAATTCTTGTACTTTTCGATACCTGACATATCATCTCTAACAAAAAGTTATGAGTTTGATAATTTACCCTCACGTATTGCTTTTAAATTTTATTTATTTTGGTATCTATATATTCGATTTTTTTTTAATCCCTATATTTTTATAACGTTCTTTTTTATCCTTGTAGTATTAAAAAGATAACCATTTTAGTATCTTCATTTTTATTTTATTTTATTTTTTATTATAATTTTAGCATGACACTTTATTCACTAAATTTTTTAAAATATAACCATAAATTTAAATTAAAAAGTTTTCGGTGTGTATACAATTTGTGTTAAATTTTTGCAAATAAAAACTAAAATAATAACTTTTGAAAGATACAAAAATCAAAACAAATAGTTTGAAAGTACATCGAAGTGAATATAAATTAAAAATAGAATGATTAAAATAGGTTAAAAAATATATTTAGTTATTGTACTTTTGCCAAAGTAACATTTAGTCTTGTATTTTCAAATTGGTAATAATTTAGTTCATGAATTTTAGTATGCAGCAATAAGATTCGTAAAAATCTAGTTTTTCCTGAAAAAAAAAACTCATCAAAATGAAGTGTCTATTATGGTGATGTTATACTTTATTATTTGTAATTTATAAATACATTTGCTTCTTCATCAATTAATTGATCTACATATATAAAAAACTTAACAAAGAAAAAAAACAATAAAGACTAAATTATTTATTATTAATTTAAAAGAAAATAAACTACATCGTCATAAATTAAAGTTGGAAGAATTAATTCAATAAAATTACATGCCCAAATATATTTTTTAACTTTAAAATAAATATTTTAGGAGTACATGTAGAATACTATTTAAACCTAATTTATATATTACCTTTTCTCCTGATATTCTCTCCGCTGTACACGTTCGATCTGTTCCACGTGCCAACACGTGTGTGAGTTGTGGTCCCCTGTCCATGTCGCATGTCCACACGCACTTTTAAGGCAGGGGTACTCTAGTAAATCTACGTACATAATGCGGAGTAGAGCTAGCATAATTGGACACGTCGCCCTCCGTAATTGGAAGACAGTTGAAAAAGCACACACCTTTAATCTGTTTATTAAGAAAATACGGGAATTATCGGTAATTATAACCGGGGCAACTGGCTGAGCCGGTGTGATCGAGATCAACGGCCAGGATTGGTCTTCGATCCTCGGCGACTTTTTTAGCATCTTTGCAGCTTCAGACGAACCCGCGTCTTTGCTAATACAGAGCCAGTTTAGTCCATCTTCAAAGTTCACCCCCCCACCCCTCTCATGGCTTCTCTCTCCTCTTCTTCTGAGCTAGGGTTTCTGTGAGGTACGTATTTGCATATGGTATTTGCTTCATTGAATGCAAAGCAAAGCATATTACGTGCCTCGACAGTTTATGTGATCGTTCTCATATGCATGTTTGAAATTCATATTGACTATTGACGACTTCATTTGAAAAAAAAAAGGAATTGATTAGTTGAAATCTGATATCGCTATCTGATTGTTTCTCCAGCTCGTTTGATGCTAGTTTTGGTTGTGCGTGAAGCATTTACTAGCAGTTAGATTGGGAAGCTGGATTTTGGGGTGTTGTGATTCGCGTTCTTTGGATGTGTATGAACTAGGAGCCCTTTTTCGGCGGCTCGGGGAAAGTAGAGTTTGAAAATTTGAATTTTGGATTGGCGAGGGTTTACTTTTTGGGGGTTTAAGTTTTGAATAATATAGGGTGACTTCCCTGTTAGATTAATCGCTGTTTTGCAATGGATCCACGCCTTGGACGACACGCTGGTTCCATTAATGGAATCCTTTTAGGTAATGGTTCTTTTGCAGTCCAATCACAAGAGAACGCTGTAGGCAGGCCTGGATTTCAGAATACCATTTTGAGTCGCAACTTTCAAGAATTTCGTTGCCTTGCCCCCGATCCATCACCGAGTAACATAGCCTCAAGTTCCAGTTTTCTCACCTCGTCTTCTAATGCGAGCCACGAGGAAGATTATCTGGAAGATTGCGATTTTTCTGATGCTGTTTTGAGGTTCATAAATCAGATTCTCATGGAAGAAGATATGGAGGACAAGACTTGCATGCTTCAAGACTCTTTGGATCTTCAAGCCGCAGAGAAATCATTCTACGATGTTCTTGGAAAAAAGTATCCTCCTTCCCCAGAACCAAATAGATCTCTGGCTATTCAATACAGTGATAGCTTCAATGGAGAGCTTTGTGGAGATAGTAGTAATTATCTGAATAGTTACAATAATACTTCTTATTCTGGTGATGATAACCCGTTTGAAACTCTAGATGTATTTCAAATCAGAAGCACTTTAGGTGATACCATTTCTCCATCATCTAATAGCTCCTCAAATAGTATAATTAGTGGGGTGGATGGGTTGGTGGACTTCTCGAATAATACAATTCAAGTCCCTGAGTCTAATAACAGAAGCCAATCTATTTGGCAATTCCAAAAGGGGTTTGAAGAGGCAAGCAAATTTTTACCTGGTGGAAACGACTTGTGCCTTGATTTTGACGTAAATGGGTCAGTAACTCAGGGCCCAGACGAGGGAACTAGCCAGATATATGTGAAGGCAAAAAGAAAGGATCAGAGGAATATTTTGTCACTTGAGTCACGAGTAAGAAAGAATCCTCATGATGAGGATGGAGATTTGGAAGAAGAGAGAAGCAGCAAGCAAGCAGCTGTATTTACAGAGTCGACCCTGCGATCTAAGATGTTTGATATTGTGTTGCTTTGTAGTGCAGGGGAGGGACATGACCGGTTAGCTTCATTTCGGCAGGAATTACAGAATGCAAAAATCAGAAGCATGATGCAGACTGGGCAACTAAAACAATCTAGTGGAGGTAGGGGTCGTCGGAAGAAGCAAAGTGGGAAAAAGGAGGTGGTGGATTTGAGAACTCTTCTAATTAGCTGTGCTCAAGCTGTTGCAGCTGATGACCATAGGAATGCCACTGAGCTTCTAAAGCAGATCAGGCAACATGCTTCTCCTTTTGGGGATGGAAATCAGAGGTTGGCTAGTTGTTTTGCAGATGGTCTGGAGGCACGCTTGGCAGGTACTGGTAGCCAGATTTATAAAGGTCTAATTAATAAAAGAACATCTGCGGCTGATGTATTGAAAGCTTACCACCTGTACCTTGCTGCATGCCCATTTAGGAAGATCTCTAATTTTACTTCAAACAGGACGATAATGAATGCTGCAGAGAATGCAACTAGGCTTCATGTCATAGATTTTGGTATCCTGTACGGTTTCCAGTGGCCTACTTTAATACAGAGACTATCGTGGAGAAAAGGAGGACCTCCAAAGCTTCGAATTACTGGAATAGAATTTCCCCAGCCTGGATTTCGTCCAGCAGAGAGAGTTGAGGAGACAGGCCGTCGCTTGGCAACCTATGCTGAGAGTTTCAATGTGCCATTTGAGTATAATGCTATAGCAAAAAAATGGGAAACTATTACAGTTGAAGACCTCAATATCGATAAGGATGAGTTCCTAGTTGTTAACTGTTTGTATCGAGCTAAAAATTTGCTTGATGAGAGTGTTTCCACAGAGAGTCCTAGGAATACTGTTCTTAGATTGATACACAAAATTAATCCTAACTTATTCATCCATGGCGTTGTCAATGGGGCATACAATGCTCCTTTCTTTGTTACTCGATTTCGAGAGGCTTTGTTTCACTTTTCTGCTATCTTTGATATGCTTGAAACCATTGTACCTCGTGAGGATTGGGAGAGAATGCTGTTGGAGAAAGAGATCTTTGGCAGGGAGGCTTTAAATGTTATAGCATGTGAGGGATGGGAGAGAGTGGAAAGACCAGAAACATACAAGCAATGGCAATTCCGGATCATGAGGGCTGGATTCGTGCAACTGCCTATTGGTCCTGAGATTTTCGAGAGAGCAGTTGACAAGGTGCGGTCAAGTTACCACCGAGATTTTTTGATTGATGAAGATAGTAGATGGATACTGCAGGGATGGAAAGGTCGAATTATATATGCCATCTCCGCTTGGAGACCTGCTATAGAATAACCACAAAGATGGAATTGTGTTAATCAGGTCTGCAAGTGTCCCTTGGCTCTTAGCTATTCAAATCAAATGAGATTGCTTGAGGACCAATGGGTAACTATTCATGAATGTTAGTGCCATTCCACTCTATTTTGTTGTTTTATCCCTCCCCTGTTTTTAACTTAATGTTCAATAATCTATCACCAATCACAACTAACTATTGTTCTAATTATTCAACAGGTCAATTGTGGAGCTATTTCGAAATCGAAACCAAGTGTTGAGGAAGGCCAATGCTCCCTGAAGAAATTTGTTAAACGGAATGAAATGCTTGGCGAGCTTTCAAGGTTCAGCTGGAGAATCAACAAGGCTAATGCATGTCAGGATTCAATGTTCATACGAGCCCTACACCGCAGGTAGGAATACGAAACCGAAAATTTTTGCCTCGCTCTGTTTTATCATGAGAGTGTTCTTCACAGGCAGGAGATATGAACCTGTCTTCTTCTATTTTCTCAAGAGTTTTGTAGTCACAATGTTGTCTTCCACTTAAAGCTCAATAAAGATCTGTTTTCTCATAGAACTACAGAAACCATTCTTGAACCTTTGTTTCTCTTTTTCTTTTTCTAACTGTAGAAAGTTCATGGGAAAACTCAAAAATTGTATTTCCAGAATGAGATATCAAGTTTTAGTACAACAAGATATTTATTGAACCTAATTGGCTATTATTTTGGAGAGAAAGTGAGGTGTGATGGCTCTGTTTTCTTTGAACTAAACCCAATGTTGCTGTTGTGGGGACCTATGTCCTAGCCAAGTTTGGGAGGGGAACATGGATCCGAATGGCATGCAATTTCTTGAATAATGAGCTATACTTTCCCAAAAGGAGTGGAGAAGATTACCATTGGCTGGAAGTTTCTCCATTCCTCTCCAATCTCTGTATCCTATTGTGGAAAGGATTTCTCTAATGGCACCACAATAACGTCCTCATTCACTGCCATTACTTGAAAAGCTAAATTACAAAAAAATAAATAAATAAATAAATAAAAAACTTTTGGACTTTGTCTTTGTATAAAAAATAACTCTAAAAGTTTAAATACTACCCTTTGTAAATGTTTCAAACATACTCTATGAGCTAACATCTATTAATAGTTTGAACGAAAAATTGGCGTAGCATAATCTGAAACGACGAAATAAAAAGAGGGATTATAGTAAAGTTGTGTTGACAACGTAGTAGCACACTCTCTTGAATGGAGGAAGAAAATTTGGACAAAATTATGATATTAATTGTCATGTCGTTTCGTTTGTTCAAACAGTATTTTTGAAACGTTTATGAAATGTTGAAAGTTTTGAAAGGGTAAGGGTATTTTTGAAACAAAAACAAAATTTAGGGATTTTTTTTTTCATTTGATAATTTAGCCTATTTTAGATTACTTTTTTTTTTTTTTTAATCTCTTTTCGTTTTCCTTTTTCTTAATTCATTTCTTAAAACACTGGATTCATATATGGACACAAAACTAGACCACCTGTTGTAAGCGGGGAAATGATTATTGCTTTACCAATTACCAGACGTGGCTGTTTAGAAACTAATTTGTTTTAAATTAATTATTTAATCTAAGATGGGTAATATTTTAAGGTATTATTTATAATACAGAGGTAATTATTTATATGTGCAGTAAACGCAAGGAGATTATTTCGAATTTAACCAAAAATAAAAAGGCGAATTTTAAACTATCACCATTGCAAATTGAATTTACAAGTCAAAAGCTTCGATCCCAATGAGGATGGATCAATTTGCCAAAACCCTATAAAAAAAGCTTAAGTTGGTTGAGTTGTCAAAGGTGACCAAACGAGGATGGCCCATTTTTTTTTCGTTCATTCATGATTCATATTAAACCACATCACTATTGAATATATTATTTCCTTTAATACAAAAAAGAAGAAGAATATATTATTTTATTTTATAACTTCAGTGACGATTCACTATATATAAATTTAGCCTTTACAATAGAACAATAGAAGCCCAAATATTTCGACTTGGTTTCTTTCTGTTATGCAATTCGTGTGGATTCTTCTTTCTTATTTATGTCATTTTCGACTATATTTTTTTTAAAAAAATTTAAGCCTGTTGATAACTATTTTGTTTTGTTTTTTTTTTTAATTTTTTAAAAATTAAGCTTAAAATCATCATTTCAATCACTTTTTTAAAACATTTCTAAAATATAAGTTAAAATTGTTTATTAAGAATCTAAATGTGTTTTAAAAACAGTGAAAACATGTGAAGAAAATTACGAAAAATCAAATATATAATTTTTAAAACAAAAAAAAAACGAAAAACAAAATAGTTATCGAAAGGAGTCTTAATTATTAGTTTTTCTTTGGGTGTACCAATTATTGAAGTAGCTTCATTGAACTTGATCAACATCTTTATTCATCCCTCTTATAAAAATCACTTCTACTATCTTTTCTAACAGGATATCTCATTCATTCATGTCCTTTCTATTCTTAGAAATGGATATATTTTAGATCTTATTATGACTTTTAACCTGCACCTCATATCGTGATTGCAAATGTATACAATTATTTGAAAATAATTTGATCATCATATGATAAGTTTTATCTTACGAGTAATTGTTTTTGCAGGATCTTGTAGGATATCGATAAACCTAAGTTGAATCTAAATTATACGATTATATTCCATCGAAATCTAGTCATTCAATGAAAAACGAATATCCATTCGATCATATCTAATGAACTCACCATGTCAACTTGATTTAATTATTCGATGCGCATTTCATTCAAAACGAATATCCATTCGATCATATCTAATGAACTCACCATGTCAACTTGATTTAATTATTCTGCGCATTTCATTCAAGTAAATTATCATTTATGTGAATTTTACAACATAAAGGTAAAGGTTTAAGTTCATATGATACATGGATACTTTCCAATATCTTTTTGAGTGATTAGGGCGTAAAGAAACGATTGAACATGTTGTCATAAGTTCATAACAGGATACATGTGAATTACAACCATGCAAAAACATGGTGGCAATTAATTTTTAAAGGATAGAAAATTAGTGGAGAGTATGAAACTCTTGTGTTTATTCTTATCATTTTCTAGTGGTCTTCAATGATTTTGTTAATTCAGTGATTATTGTAGAAAGACAGAGATTACACTTATGAACTTTTTTACCCTCATAATCAAAATGCTTATTTACAACATCTGTTCAGTGAAACTGGGAGTGGAAGATTTCCCCAAAACAGAACTCTTCTTGTTTTTTTTTTCTTTTTCTTTTTTCCTTTTTATTTCATTCTTCTTTTTTGGGGGAAGGGTGGAAGAACATAAACAAGGCTGTCATAGTTTTAAGCTGTCACTGATGTTTCAACTGTAACCTTGCCAGCATAACCCATTTCTGATTTGATTTCAACATTCCAAAGCTCTGGAATTCCTTCCCTAAGGTTGTGGATGCTTTCCAATGCATAATCTGCTCCTTTAATTCTGTGTGAAGTGCCAATCTATAGTACCAAACAAAAAAAAAAGATTGAACAAAAGTTAGCCAACCATATCACTATCTTCATCAGGAACTGTACCGCCTCTGTTTTCCCTATACATGGTTTCGAAAATGTCTTACCAAGACGGTATCGAGCCCAACACGCTTGCCCGCTTGTATGTTTCGAACACTGTCTTCAAAGAACAGCTGAAAAGAGCAAAATGGAACAAGTTAAGAAAAAGAATGAGATTGAAGGTTAAAAAAGAATAAGATAGTTCCTCTTACAGTTCTCTGAGGGTTGAGGCCTGCAATCTTGAGAGCCCTTTCAATGGCAGCTTCTGATGGTTTGCAGATGATGGGAGTTTTTGGTAATTCCACCCCAGGATTGGGTTGAAGAAAATGGCCAATGATGTCAAAGATTTCAGAGCCAGATGGAGCTGGATTGGATCCCATAAACTCAAGCTCATCTTCATCAACAGATACAAAGTTTTTGTTGGTTGGATTCAGGGTTTCAAAGCAGATAATCCCTTCAAAACAGTCTTCCAATCCAAGCTTTTTAAGAACTTTAACTGCATGGTCCTTGTCAGCATTTGTAAAGATCTATACACACAAAAAAGAAAAAAAAATCAGAAAAAAGTCAATCTTGAGTATTCTGAAGAACTGAAAAGGAAGAAACAAAAACAAATACTTACAACTCTCCTATAAGGCAGGCTCAAGAGAAGACTTCTAAGAACAGGATCAGGTTTTAGGTTGTCATAAGGAAGTCTTCCATGAACAAAACTGTGGTACTCATCATAATCAAAGTTATAGCCAATTGCCTGAAAAAGAGAATCCCCATTAGTTCCTTTTTTCTTTCTTCCACTTTAAGCATTTAGAAGACTGGCAGTTTGTTCAAGAAGCCATACCCTAAGACCTGCCATGGTTGTTCCATAGTTCTTGTACAGTAAATTGCAGTAGTCAGGGATTTTGCTCTGCTCTATTCCCAGTTTTTCAACCATGTAATCTACAAAAAGGGCAGTAAAATTTCACTGTTTTCTAAGTATTTCAACATCAAGAAACTGATGATCTCGACTGAATGGCTGAAAATTTTGTAATCTTACCTTTGATATTCTGTAGGCATGAAGCTGCAATGCCAGTACTCAAGGGATACAGAGTGTCATCCAAATCTGCAGTTTCAGACACGTTAGGAAAAGATTATGATTTTCAAAAGCAAAAACTAAAGAAAGAAGAGAGTGAATCTGATTGTTCTGAAAGAAAGTTCTTACCAAAGAGAAGACAATCATATTTTGGTCTCTGAGCCTGCCTGAACCGGTTCTCGTATTCCATTTCGATTAAAAATCCTATCAAGAACAACAAAGAAAAGTCAGAACTGATCTCAGTAGGCTGGAAATAATATATTGTCTTCAACCTTCATGATTTTATTAGTTGATTCAAGAATGTAGCCATTAATGGTCTCTGAAAAAGTTCAATCCACGACAATATCATTCGTTGGCTCAAAGTTAAATCCACACCATTGTTACTAAAGTATTATCAAATCAAATTTTAAGTCCATATTCGACCCATTTTAGAGGCCCATCAGTGCTCGATCAAAAGTTCAAGAAACCCTTAAATCAGGCAAAGATTCTAAATAGCAAAGTCATCTTTCCAGTTAAAACCACTCAATCACAGAACCCCATTTCCCATCAAAACCCAGAAACGAAATCAGAACAGAGGAATCACAGAACCCCATAACCCACCAAAACACAGAAACCGCAATCGAAACAGAGCATCATAACAAGAAAAATCAGCCATTCCCATAAAAAGAAACCAGACTTACCAACTGGGTTTGGCAGAGAAAGAAGAATGGATCAACAGAGAACGAGAAGAAGCGATTGAAATAGGGGCAAAAAGCTTATGAGAGGGCGAAGAATGAAGCGAGTGGGGGAGGAGAAAGAGAGGCTTAGAGGGGGTTTATATAGGGCCAAAGATTGGTGCCATTGCCGTGGTTTCTTGAATTGAAGAATTAGTTTTTAATCTTTTTACTTAATCACGTTTAATTAAACGTGAAAAGGGATGATTCAAAGAAAGTGGTGGGACGGGGAAAGTTTGAAAGGGCATAATGCGAGTCCGGTTCCTTGTACTTTCTGGACTTCGCTTGTCCTTTCTGGTCCTTTACCGTCCAGCGCTGCTCTTCCCAGCTGTAAGCTCCAATAATCAAATTTGGGTCATGCATCTCGTGCCATTATATGGATACGTGGACCAATTTCTTCTTTTTTTAGTTTCAATTTTCAATGTAAAATGTTAAAATATATACCTATATAAATTTGGTTCATGAACCTTAAACATCACGTATAATTATTGTATTTAATAGATCTAATATGTTAGAAGGTGTTTAGAGTATAGAATTTAGGTTTAGTTTGAGATGTGGAGAGTGGTAGGTTAAGTCGATAGGACCTACTCGAATAATTGTCCAACTTGATCAAATTGATTAGCAAGTGGATCAATTCATTCACGTCAATTTGATTTACTCTTCATCTCAAACAGTTCTCTTTGGCTTTTTCAGCCAAGTTTAACTGTTCACTCTTAATTGACTGTTCAGCTAAAGATGAAGTTCTACGCTCTAGTGTAGAATTCATTGATCCACAAAATGAGTTAAAAAAGGGTTCTTTCTCAAGATGAGTTTTTGCCATTTCCTTTCTAGAGAGAAAATGAATAGACTTTAAGTTAGTGTGAGATTTGTTGGACAGACTTATTGGTTTCAACTATACTCGAGACCTAATCCCTTCAAATTCACTCTCTCACTCAGTCTTTTTAAATCTTATGCTTCCTAAAGTTGTATGAATAAAAATGCCCTAAACCATCCACTTAAACACTCAAGTTTAATATAAACTCGTGCTCTAAAGATTCACTTAAATAATTTTTTTAAATCTCAATGACCTATTAACCACAAAATAAAAATTTAGAACTCTAGTTAAGATTTATTAGAAACATACTTAGCTTGAAACATTAGACAACTCGTCGTTCATTCAATTTTAATTTCATTCTCATGATTTTATCTCATCAAAATTCATACGAAAAGGAAAACTTTCTAGAAAGACGGATCTCTTAAAACACATCATTTATTTTTGTTAGACACCATATAAAAAAATGGATCCCCCTAAATAACAAACTATATAAAATACTACATTTGATCAATCTA